AAAAAAAAATATATTGATTCAAATTGTTACAAATACCTCAAAATTTTTGTTTTCATCCTTACTTAACATTTTTAATCCTATATTTCAATTCTGAATACATTTAAAAAAACTGCATATTTTTTTTTTTATATATTATTCCAGTTTAATTCATATTCTAAATTAAATAACTCTAATTTTGAAAAAATTTTATTCAATGATTAATCGATTTAATGTATCATTTCTTTTTAAGAGAGGCTAGTGTAGTCAATTAATCAAAAGCAAGATGTGAAGCTATTGAAATTTAATATTTCAGTATTCAGGTTTATCCAAATCTAGTAATACTATTTAGGGGATGAGAAATAGTTCCTTCGAATAAATTGTGTCATTGAGAAGGAATTAACTAATAATAATGGTACGTAATGAAGCAAAGAACTCGTAATTAGTTCCTTCTTTTTTTTTTTTGTTTGATCTTTTCTTCTTTGATCTTTTGCCAGAATAAATAGGTACGCACAGTAAAGGTAGATGCGCGCATGTACGCCTGGCTGTAGAGCCACGCCCGAGAACGCAGTCATTTAGATCTGAACTCGGATGAAATGCAACCAAGTCCACAGCGAAGAGAACAACCCACCCGATGTGTGCACACTATTAGACGAACTATATACACATGTATATATTACACTATTAGAGAAAAATCTACAAATCTATACACGAAATTTATCCTTGCAAGAAAACCGGAAATCTCTCCCTGCGAAAAAAAAGAAAGGAAAAAACATGGATGAAAAATATATAGCACAGCAATTGAATAATCATAAGGCATCATCAAAAAGAAGAAAAAGTATGAAGATTATATACGTACTTATATACAGAATATTGATATATTCATGGGATATTTTTGGAAGATTGATTCTGCAGATTAAAACAAATACAAAAATTAGTGTATGAAAATATCAATTGAGATTCATTTATTAAATTTATAAATCCAATTTTAACTAAGTTATAAGCAATTTAAATTTTTTTCAATTTCAATTGCTTATAATTTAACAAACAAATCTCGATCAACATTTTCATATATCAAATTTTGCTTTTTCGTTTTCTTCTAGAATTGATCCCCCAAATCCTATTAATATATTTAACACTCTGTATACGTGTATATAAACACTATATGTACATATCTTATATAGTCTTTATATCATAGAAAGCCTAATCTACATGAAAAACATAAGTATTGACACACACAAATTGAGATAAATACAAATATGACATGCTTGTGTGTCGCTGGCTTGCCTCCTCGCTTCCTGATAGAACATCCTCTTCCCTGTTTTTGCAGCTTCGAGTAATCAGAGCGTTCAAGTCGACTCTAGAAGATTTGGAGGAGCGTCGCTCTGTCCATAGTTTACACAGCTTACACAGTATGCGCAGTTCACGCAGCCACACTGGGCCCCGACCACTTTCTGACTTCACATACATTGACGAAGACCCGACAAACAGTGCGCTGAACGCCAGCAAGGGCAATTTGCCGAACAAGACCGCCGAGGATCATACGACCGCCAGGATGAACAGCTCTACGTCACCATTGTTGCTCAGCGTTACGGGATCAGGCATCGCGTACAACCATCATAATACCACCATAAACACCATCAATGACAATAGATCCTCGTCCAATAGTGCCCTAAACCAGGCCCAACAACCCAACCATACGCAGATGCAGAATAGCAACAACAGAGACAGCAACACAGGAAACTCCCTGCTTCTCAGCTCCAATAATTTGGCCATCCCGGAATTGACGAAGCTCGTGCATGAAACCAGCATTTAAAAGGCAGCTTTGCGTGTCACCACTGTACACCATTAAACTTCCCATTTTTTCATTATTATATCCCTCTCATTTTTCTTCCTCTTACTCTATATTGTCTGAATCATTTTTGTTTTGTACTTTTTTTATGGTTACACCTTTTCTTTATCTCTTTATCTTTTTATTTTTTTTTTTTTTTTATCATTACGTCTCTTGTCATCACTACTATATTTTCATTTTCAATCAGAACACTATCTTCAGTTACTATTTGCTATTTCTTGTTCGAGCTCCTTTGCGCGACAAATATTATGGATTTTCTTGTCTTAACAACTTACTTATAATGATTATTTTAAATGATACTCATTGATGTATGACATCGCAGACTTTTTTTAATGACTTCGCAATGCTGAGAAATACTTGACTTTGGATGTTCATTTCGGCTATTGTTACCTATTTCTTTTCCGTATATTTTTTATTTCTTAAAAATCTACTATATTGTTACTTTTATAAATATTTATCTGTCTCTTCTCGGTTTCTACATTGAATTCTACGGTATTATCTCTTGTATTTTTTGGCTACAAGTTCTTTAGGACACTGTTATTTGACTTGTGAAGAATTTTTTATTCTTTGCATTTTAACATTGTCTCTTTTCTTGTATTGAGAGTATTTTAAGTATTATGAGAGTGTAAATTTTTATTCTCAAGATTTTACAATTTTTTAAGGCTACATTTCATATTTAATTACCATTTTTATTTTAGCTTTTCAAACTGGTTTTTACTTCAAATTATTGATTTTATTCTTGTTATTTTTTCAAGTAAGAAATTTTTTATTCTGTGACATAATTCATTTTTCTTCTTTTTTGTTTTCTTCTTTCTTCTTTCATGGAGCTTAAAATGCTCTACTTATTGGAGGAACACGTTATTTGCAACGCTCAGGCATCGCTTCTTTGCAATTTTAGAAGAAAGAGAGAGCTACAAGTACTTAAGATTCATTTTAAAACAGAGATCTGTTTAGGCTGTCCGTTCGAGCTTCTTCACGTGATAACTCAGTTTATCAGTCTCTTTTATATTCTCTTTTATGATACCGAGCACAGAATACAAATATATATTTTAGGTTCACTTCAATATTACTTAAAAAAAAAATTCAGAATTTTTCAGATTATTTAAAATTTTTCTATTTAATTAAAATTATTTTTTTTTCAATTTCGTTGCAAGATATTTTAATGTTAAAATTTAAGTATTATTTATAAGTGAGAGAAAGGAATTTAGAACTTAGAATTCAAGCATTTAGAATTCTCTGCTGAATCAACTATATTTTTCACTTTTGTTCATCTTTTCTTATTTAATTTATGTCATTTTATATATGAAACCAAATATGTTTTGGAAATATTTTAAGTTCAAAAAATAATATTTGATATAATCCATTAAAAAATATTAGATGGTTATCTATTGTCTGCGTGCACGACGACTTGGCTTATATGCTTGCTTGCTTGATATGTTTCTTCACACACTATTTGTTCATTAAATTTACATATCCTATTTGCCTGCTTATTTGCCATAGAACTTAATCTAAACAGAGCAGTTTTCATTCGATCTATTTTTATCAATAGAAACAATTCCATTTGGTTTTCAAAAGAAAACTATTTTTATTATTTTTTATGAATGGAAATATGTCATGATGAGTTAAAAGATGCATTGGTCTCTTTTAGAATTTTCCTAAAATTTATTGTTTTAATAGAAAATGTACTTATGTTCGATTTTCTCTTTGAAAACCTATATATATATATATACTATCAAAAACCATTATTCATTATAAAAATGAAGGCTTCTATGATTTAAGAAAAGTTGAATGCACTTTATTATCTTTCAAAGATATATTAGGAATCATAACAAATCGTTATGACTTAACATAATTCACTTGTAATTGTCTTTAATTAATCTTTACTATCTAGTGTTCATTTTGGAATATCGTACAGGGTGTTTATAAAGTCTATATAATCTAAGTTTTTTTGTAGCATATATGTGAGTCAAGAAATTTTATGTTTTGTTTCTATATTTGATTCCTTTGTTAAATGGAATCAATCAATGGAATGGAAGTAAATCATATTGAATACTATTAAATTTGTGTCATTTCTTAAGCTTAATATTAAATAATGACATTAGTACTATATTGTGCTTAAAATAAAATAAAAATTAAAAAAAAATAAAATTTTTAATAAAATAAATTCTCTAATGATTTTGTATAATATATAATACGAAAATTAATATTAATAAGCTATAATATAAGAAATTTATATCTACATAGATCATTTAACAATTTTAACACTAAACGTATTATAACTGATCAAATGAAATAGTTTTGAAACGTGATTCGATTTTCTGCATAAAATGTTGGTACATTTAATGTTTTAATTACAATTTTAAATTAAAACATTAATTAAAACATTAATTATTACAAATTTAATTACAATTTTAAATTTAATTAGATTTTTAATTGATAAATACTCATAATTCTATTGTTAAGCAATTATTATTTCTTTTTTTATTTTATTTTTATTGAAATGAAAAGCAATAAAATTCTATGAATTACAAAAATAGTTCAAGACTCCATAGACACTCTGTACGGACTCATTCTTTCATTTATGCATTTGAAAGCAATCTTTCTGTAGCTCGGTTTCTCTAAAACCTGTTAGACTCTCCATGAATAATAATCTAAAGAGGTTTCATACAAGTGAAATAAGAGCAAAATCAGAGTATAGTATATCATGAAAAAAACGAGGTTAGCAGCTGTAAAACAATCAATTTATTGACTCTTATGGTCTGCCAATAAAAAAAAAAAAATATGAAGAGCACAATTCGTTCCTTTTTTCAGTAAAAAAGCACAAAGGATTTTGCGAAGAGCAATCAAGGGAACGACAATAAAAAGATGTACTTAATTATGAGATCGGATCTCACTATTGTTCTCTTCTCCTTATTATCTTCTTTTTTCACTTAAAGATACAGTGAAACCTTAATTCATCTATTTTGTATCATAAATCACTAAACCATTATTTTCAATTTTTATGTTAAAAACTGTAAAATAATTAAATAAGAAAAAGTAAACAAGATAAGAGAAAAGAAGTAAAATGAGGAAAATTTAAAATGTATCTTCATAGAGAAATTCTGGAAATAAGATTTAATGTTTCATTGCGCAACTTTATCAAAAATTATTATTGATAATAATATTGGTAATCATCTGAGTTTATTTTGATTCGTTTGGATAACAAATGAGAAATATGGCAAACTTATTTTTTTAAATTCCATTTAGATTAACGAATCGTAGTCAATTTTTCTTTGTTCCATTTTTTTAACCTTTTAAATGTTTCGCACAGATGTGTATCGTGTAAAACACATCAACTTAAAAACTATATATATCCACTGCCAAGATTGCGAAATAAACGAATATATTAATATTTCATGAGAAAATTATATAAATGAAAAGAGAAAAAAAATAGTCGCGATAGGTCTTCTCTCCTGATTGCAATGATCAGTTAGAAATCAGTAATATATATTTCTTAATTATTAGGCTAAAAATCTTTCTCATAAAGCTTCTCAGTTTAAAATCGTATTATAATTGATGATGAAACATCAGGTCATTCTGTACATAATATCCTATTGTAATTAAATTACTGAATTATGAATTCTAAGAAATATGTTTCTGATTCTATTTTAGATACATGGTGGTTTTCTATTGAATCTTTTATTTCTTTTCGATAGAATTTTCTTTTATAGATTATAAAGTCCTAAAAAACTCGATAATTTGAAAGTTGAGAATTTTAATATATTGCATTGATAATTCTATGAGAATGAAAAATATTTCAGAAAATACTTGTTACATAATTAATGTATTGCAATATGTTAAGATATACTGCAATACATTAAGAAATATACATATAATACAATGATCTTTAACTAACTATTGTGCACAAATTTGTATTATTCCTGAATTTGTTTTCACATAATTGTTTCTCTCATTAATAGAATTAAAATTGTAAAATTTATTGAACATTGATCTTTGATTCAAGTTTTTTTATCGAAAAATTTTTAAATATTCTAATATGGAGTTCAAATTTCTGATTCATTTAGGATTCTCTATCGTTATTTACCTCATCAGATTTGAATTCACTGTATATTAAACATACAATTCATAAAATCTATTGGTGACGATATTCGTCGTTATTCTTGTATCTTTGAGAAAAGATATAATAATTCTTGCGAAGAAACATTGTGTTCGCAAAAATATTATTGTTAAAGAACTTATTTCTGTAATGTAAAATGATTATTTATATATATATATATAAGTGTGGAAAAAAAATTGTTGCAATCGAGAGAAAAGTTTAATTTTTAATATTTACAAATAATTAAATTTGTTATATTGGAACGATGAAAA